TATCACTGTGTTGATAAGGATTTTTCATTTCACTCACTATTCACCTTAGCTAAAGCCATTTCTCCTCACCAGTGCAGTGGAGAGCTTTAAACAGTTCAACCTTACATCCGTGAAAGGAAGAATCACTTCCTGTGGGTTAATTAAATAAAACACTACGCTTATACTTAAAAGATTATGAACATCATAGTTATTTTTGAGTTTTAGGCAAAGTGAAATACATCAAATTAACTCTGGAAATGAAGTTTAGAGTGACCAATGAAAATTACAAAATATTTATTTTATTAAATTATCCAAGCATACTCCTCTGTTAAATAAATAACTCTTAAAAACCCCTGAATCGTTTCAGTGTAAATAACTTTAAGATACAAATGGGGGCTCAAAGATGTATCTCTACAAATGACAGATCCGTGTTTATTCTTCATTTCTTGTTCTTTTAAATAACATAGCCCTCTGCAAACCTACTAGGTCACCTTTGAATATTTGTCAAGGGTCAGGTCAGTACCTGTTTGAAATACCTCAGTTGAAGTTGGAAGTAGTTGTCTGACTAATTGAATTGCAATACTTAAAGCTAGAATTGCTATTAAGAATGAAATGCCATTAATCTTATATGAAGAACTAATTTTTTTTTAATTTTAAGTAATTTTCTACTTGCCTTTGGGGAAAACTTCACACAGTCATCTACGTTCAGTTTCTAATAAGGCTCTCAGAGACAATTACAAGCTGTTAACAATTCCCAGATGCTTTAAAATAAAAAAGCACACACACGACAAAGGAGTCCAAAGGGCTATTTTGCCTTTGGAGTCATTAGGCAGGTCTCTCACACAAGTGTGGTCATGGATTTTAAGTGGGAAGAAAAACAGTACATTTTTCTGAATTTGAATTCCTACCTGTACTCTAAGTTCCTAAGGAGAGGAAAGTGTCATGAAAATTACTTGAAATTCGGGCTGAGGAGAAAGACCCACTTGAAGAAAAGTAGTTCCTTGGATTAGCTGCTTTCTAATACCACCAACTTACTTTGTTTATAGTAGTGATAGCAACACACATTCATCAATGTTCCTTATGTAAGAGCACCATCAAATCCACTTAACGTTAGATTTTCAACATTTCCTTCTCTCTGTTAATAACTTGTCAATCCAATACCTTGTTTATCTACACAAATATGGTAACGTATAAACAATGACTGCAGGCAAACATTCCAGGATTGTGTGCCTTAGGAAAGATGAATAAATCAACATGTGGGCTCACAAAACAAACAGAATGACTGACTGCTTGCTTTTTTTTTTTTTTAATTAGATGTCTCATAAAAGAACTGATGTGGGCAGAGGCAACTGTAAAACTACAACGACATAATAGGCCCTGATTGAGCAATCAACTCACTTGTGATGTTGGAAACAGTATGTTTCATCTGGATACCCAGTTATCATCCAGAATTTTAATAACATAACTAAATTGGGCTAAAAATTGTACTTGCTCCGTATCGGTAGAGGCTATTTGAGCCTCCAGGCAGTGACACCAGTGCTCTGGGATTCCGGTCCTACGGTTCTATCATATAAATTAACTGTCATGGACATTACTTTCTATGTAGGAAGAGATGATAAAAGGCTGAGGTTCATCACGCCGGGTCATGGAAATGTACGTATCTGGCAGCCCAGCACATACCAGCTCAGAAAACTGCCATGCCTACAATAGTTGCATCTATTATAAATTCAGAGGAGTGGGACAGAAGGTTCTGGATTAATAAATCCCTAAAAATATATATTTTGTCGACAACTTCAAACTGTTTAGGAATCCAAATCACCTGGGAGAAAAATGAGTGAATTTTAGCAGAAACTAAGGCCAAAGAAAGAAATGAACTTTATTTCTCCTCCCTAATATTCTCATGGTCTAACTCAGGAGCACAGAGTCCAGAGGCAGTAATTTCCACCAAGCCAGCACAGGCAAGATTTAGAACCTATAGCATCTATTCCTCAATGTTACCCCTTGGTCGACCCCATACCTGACAGAAGAAAGATATGGGAAGATTCTCTTGGTTGTGGCCCCATGATTTCCTAGTGAAAACTTCTGCAATCTCCATTTATAATTTCCATCTTCCACGTCTATTGACTAGCAATTATACACCATTTATATAGAATATGCAAAACAAGAGAACTAAAAAAAGGAAATCACCTTTTCGAAAGATACATATGTGAACAAAGTTCATGAAAATTTTCTCCCCAAACATTGCGGTGGATGTTCTGAGAGTTCAGGTTTCTTTGATCAGCAATCACTAAACCTCAAATGTTGTGTTGATGAAGAAAATCTAGAAATAATCCAGCTAGAAAACTGGGAAATAAAATGGACACAGTCCCTACTAGAACATACAGAAATATGAACATACACAGAATCGGTCAAGAACACTTATTAAGCACATTCTGGAAAGATATATTGACAGCTCTAAGCAGAGATGTCATAATCCTTAATCTCAAGTAATTTCTAATGTAAGAGTCAGGACCGCTGCAAATAGGCGCAGTTATTAAATGACTCAAGGGTATCAGTTTCCCAGTTATAAAAATTTGAGAAATTCAAGATGCTTGATGGTTCGATGTCAGGGAAGCAGTTTGAGCTAATGTGAAAAGATCGTGAAGATGGTAAGATCAGACTGAAACCCTAAAGGAAAGGAGGTAACTGTGGTGAAAATTAGTAAGTTGGTTGGGAATAGGAGAAAGTAGGAACGTGGCATTGGTGACAAGCACAAGCTGACGTTCCAATCTGACCAACGACACCTACCCCTTCTCCAGGCCACCTGTGTGCCCAGCCAAGTGGGTAGGGGACCTGTGGCCCATCACAAGCCTGTGCATCAGCTTGGGTCTGCATCAGTGTGGAGGAAGGGGCACCTTTTTTCTAATTTAGCTGCCACTTGTCATTTGTCTACCTGAAGTGGGCTCCTTTTTTGTGGCCCAAAGACCCAGTATGTGACAGTGGTAGCCTAGTTTGAGAGCTCAGTCATTCATGTACTGATTATTGCAACTGACTCTTAGCTAATTTCCTCTGCCTCAAATTTCTCTTTTTCTACTATTTGACTTACTTCCTTAAATACTACTTTGTGCCATCTTTGATCAAGAACTGATAGTGGCTTTCATTGCTCTTACATGAGATCTAGTATTTCACCAAGTTATCACTTAATTGAGCCTACCTCCTTCTATATTAATCCATAACTCAGAATCTCTGTACCAACCTAGTCATTTGAGTGCAATCACCCATGCACAACTCCCCTGCCCCACCCCGTGCATACTGTTTACATCCCTGGACTCTGTTTTGTCCCTTTGCTCTGCTCTGATCATCAAAGCTGTATTTGAAACTTGATGGTTCAGATGAGTGGCCTCGTTGGTGGAAGATGATTGGGGAAAGACATGAGTAACTATACTTCTTTTTTTTTTTTTTTGCAGTACGTGGGCCCCTCACTGTTGTGGCCTCTCCCGTTGCGGAGCACAGGCTCCGGACGCGCAGGATCAGCGGCCATGGCTCACGGGCCCAGCCGCTCCGCGGTATGTGGGATCTTCCCGGACTGGGGCACGAACCCGTGTCCCCTGCATCGGCGGGTGGACTCTCAACCACTGCGCCACCAGGGAAGCCCTATACTTCTTAATATAGTTAAAAACTAGTCTTCTCCAGAAACTTTCTGAGGGACTGATTTCATTTCTCTGATCCTTATTATTTTTATAATTAATAAACTCAGTTGAACAATTGTAGTTTGCACATCATTAAATTAATATTAAAAGACTTCACAAATTATTTTGGTAGAACTTAAAATACTTCTCTCATAAGTAATGAAAATATTAAGGATATTAAGGGCCAAAAATAATTTTGGTCACTGTCAGTATGCATGCATTTTTCCCCTGTTCCTGGCTCCTGTGGTCTAGACAACCTTCAAATTCAGAAAACTCAGTCTGGAACCATTTTACACTACTTCCCAGGTCTTGAGTGCAAACAGGGGGAGTCAAGTATTTCTTTTCATTCAGCAAAAAAAGTCAATAGTAAATTTGTGTTCAACTCATGCTTCTGCCACTTTCTCCCTCTGTTCAAAATAAGTCAAGGCCTGGATATACGATGTATTGGTTGACATTGTATCATCTTTTCAGTGGCCTCTCAGTACCTGGTACTTGTCTGAAGATGAACACAGGCAGGCAAAATCAGGGGAAGAACGTGTGTGTGTGTGTGTGTGTGTGTGCGCGCGCACGCGCGCACGTGCGTGTGTGTAGAATACGATAGTCCTGAAAATCTTGCTTTTGGATCCCGTAAAAGAAGTTGATGGGAGCTAACAAAAGGATGCACAGCGGTTTATAAAATCTGTGTCACAATCACCTTTCCCTTGATAGTTGAAATAAATTAAATCAGCTCTACATCTTATACCTGTCTCTCTGCTTTAATCCCTACATTGATTTTTGACCAGACAGCTTCAGGACTTGAAATAATCGAATCACATCAGGGAAACACAAGTGATCTATTTTTGCTGGAGAAAACTGAGGGAACCAAAGCTCTCATCTGGCAAAGGAGCAACCACACTATTAAACATTTATTACCCTTCACTTAACGCTGATTCAGCAAATACCAATCTAACACCTTATTATTACTGAGGATACACGAGGATTATAAAACCTAGTTACCACCATCAAAAAGTTTTAAAGTAATTGGAAAACTAAAAATTATACAGCTGAAAAAAAAGAAATTATACAGCTGAAACTTATAGGCTGTTGATACTATGTAGTTTTCAGACTGACTGAATCTTTCCTTTTAATTTTAGGAAAGTGGCAGATCAAAAAAATGGGAAACATCTATTATTGTTAAATCTGTGATTGATGGATTAGCAAGATAAACACTAGCATTCAATAACTGACAACTTACCAACTTCAATCATTAAAGATATTTTGAATAATAAAGTCATGAAAAGGACAAAATAAACCAATCCACAGTGGCTGGCTTTTTCCATTTTTGACACATTAAGGCATCTGTCACCTACTCACCATCGGTTACGATCAGTTTCATCGCGAAGGTTTCAGTTTCTCCTGTGCTGGCTTTGAAGCCACAGCGGTAGAGTCCTGAGTCAGAGGTCCTAATGTGGGGCATGGTGATGAAGGCCCTCCTCATTCCCTGGGTACAGTTGCTCAGTATCTGTCTTGGGTACTTTGAAGTGTAACTTCTTCCTTGGGACAAGTTGCAGCTAGTTAAGAGGTCAATCTGATGGGGCTGGATCTTCTCCCATGTAACTTCTTGTAACAGCCATTTCGCTTGAGGCTGGCAGGTGAGTGTGACATTTTTTCCAGGTTCTGAGACTGTCTGGCTATTTGATGGCACAGCTGTCTCAAAACCGTCTGAAAAGAAGAAGCAAATGATTATACTTCGGTCCTCAAATTCTTGGATGCTAAGGTGGAAGCCACCCAGAAAGTTCTATCAAAATGGTTGGTGATGGAGAGGAGACCTTCAAGATGGAGAAAGAGTAAGACGTGGAGATCACCTTCCTCCCAACAAATACATCAGAAATACATCTACATGTGGAACAGCTCCTACAGAACACCTACTGAACGCTGGCAGAAGACCTCAGACCTCCCAAAAGGCAAGAAACTCCCTACGTACCTGGGTAGGGCAAAATAAGAAAGAAACAACAGAGACAAGAGAATAGGGACAGGACCTGCACCAGTGGGAGGGAGCAGTGAAGGAGGAAAGGAGGAAAGGTTTCCACACACCAGAAGCCCCTTCTCGGGTGGAGACTGCGGGTGGCGGAGGGGGAAAGCTTCGGAGCCACAGAGGAGAGCACAGCCACAGGGGTGCGGAGGGCACAGCGGAGAGATTCCCGCACAGAGGATCAGTGCCGACCAGCACTCACCAGCCCGAGAGGCTTGTCTGCTCACCCGCCGGGGTGGGCGGGGCCTGGGAGCTGAGGCTCGGGCTTCGGTTGGATCCCAGGGAGAGGACTGGGGTTGGCGGCGTGAACACAGCCTGAAGGGGGCTAGTGCACCATGGCTAGCCGGGAGGGAGTCTGGGAAAAGGTCTGGACCTGCCTAAGAGGTAGGAGACCATTGTTTCGGGGTGCATGAGGAGACGGGATTCAGAGCACCGCCTAAATGAGCTCCAGAGACAGGCGCAAGCCACGGCTATCAGCGTGGACCCCAGAAACGAGCATGAGATGCTAAGACTGCTGCTGCTGCCACCAAGAAGGCTGTGTGCCAGCCCAGGTCACTATCTATATCTCCCCTCCCGGAAGCCTGTGCAGCCCGCCACCACCAGGGTCCCGTGATCCAGGGACAACTTTACCAGGAGAACACGCAGCCAGCCTCAGGCTGCTGCAACGTTACGTGGTCTGCATTCCATACCCCTCCCTCCCTCTGACCTGAGTGAGCCACAGCCCCCTAATCAGCTGCTCCTTTAACCCCATCCTGTCTGAGCAAAGAACAGATGCCCTCAGGTGACCTACACGCAGAGGCAGGGCCAAATCCAAAGCTGAACCCCAGGAGCTGTGTGAACAAAGAAGAGAAAGGGAAATATCTCACAGCAGCCTCAGGAGCAGCAGATTAAATCTTCACAATCAACTTGATGTACCTGCATCTGTGGAATACCTGAATAGATAATGAATCATCCCAAAATTGAGGCGGTGGACTTTGGGAGCAACTGCAGACTTGGGGTTTTCTTTCTGCATCTAATTTGTTTCTGGTTTTATGTTTATGTTAGTTTAGTACTTAGAGCATATTATCATTGGTAGATTTGTTTATTGATTTGGTTGCTCTCTTCCTCCTTTTTCTTTATATATAGATATAGTATTTTTTTTCCTTCTCTTTTTGTGAGTGTGTGTATGTATGCTTCTTTGTGCTTTTGTCGGTATAGCTTTGATTTTACCATTTGTCCTAGGATTCTGTCTGTCTATTTTTTGTTTGTTTGTTAGTTTAGTATAGTTTTTAGCACTTGTATCATTGGTGGATTTCATTTTTGGTTTCATTGCTCTCTTTTTACTTTCTTTTATTAATTACTTTCTAATAATGATTTTTTATTTTAATAACTTCATTTTATTTTATTTATTTATTTTCTTTCTTTCTTTCTTTTTTGCTCCCTTTTCCCTGAGTCCGGTGGCTGACAGGGTCTTGGTGCTCTGCCCAGGTGTCAGGCCTGTGCCTCTGAGGTGGGAGAGCCGAGTTCAGGACATTGGTCCACCAGAGACCTCCTGGCTCCATGTAACATCAAACAGCGAAAGCTCTCCCAGAGATCTCCGTCTCAATGCTAAGACCCAGCTCCACTCAACAACCAGCAAGCTACAGTGCTGGACACCCTAACGAAAAAACCAGTAAGATAGGAACACAACCCCACCCATTAGCAGAGAGACTGCCTAAAATCATAACAAGGTCACAGACACTCCAAAACACACCACCAGACGTGGTCCTGCCCACCAGAAAGACAAGATCCAGCCTCATCCACCAGAACATAGGCACTAGTCCCCTCCACCAGGAAGCCTACACAACCCAAAGAACGAACCTTAGCCACTGGGGGAAGACACCAAAAACGATGGGAACTATGAATCTCCAGCCTGTGAAAAGGAGACCCCAAACACAGTAAGTTAAGCAAAATGAGAAGACAGAAAAACACACAGCAGATGAAGGAGCAAGGTAAAAACCCACCAGAGCAAACAAATGAAGAGAAAATAGGCAGTCTACCTGAAAAAGAATTCAGAGTAATGATAGTAAAGATGATCCAAAATCGTGGAAATAGAATGGAGAAAATACAAGAAATGTTTAACAAGGACCTAGAAGAACTAAAGAGCAAACAGTGATGAACAACACAATAAATGAAATTAAAAATTCTCTAGATGGGATCAATAGCAGAATAACTGACAGAGAAGAACAGATAAGTGACCTGGAAGATAAAATAGTGAAAATAACTACTGCAGAGCAGAATAAAGAAAAAAAAAATGAAAGAATTGAGGACAGTCTCAGAGACCTCTGGGACAACATTAAACACACCAACATTCAATTTAAAGGGGTCGCAGAAGAAGAAGAGAAAAAGAAAGGGACTGAGAAAATATTTGAAGAGATTATAGTTGAAAACTTCCCTAATATGGGAAAGGAAATAGTTAATCAAGTCCAGGAAGCACAGGGAGTCCCAAAAGGATAAATCCAAGGAGAAACATGCAAGACACATATTAATCAAACTGTCAAAAATTAAAAACAAAGAAAAAATATTAAAAGCAGCAAGGGAAAAACAACAAATAAGATACAAGGGAATCCCCATAAGGTTAACAGCTGACCTTTCAGCAGAAACTCTACAGGCCAGAAGGGAGTGGCAGGACATATTTAAAGTTATGAAGGGGAAAAACCTACAACCAAGATTACTCTACCCAGCAAGGATCTCATTCAGATATGACGGAGAAATTAAAACCTTTACAAAAAAAGCAAAAGCTAAGAGAATTCAGCACCACCAAACCAGCTTTACAACAAACACTAAAGGAACTTCTGAAGGCAGGAAACACAAGAGAAGGAAAAGATCTACAACAACAAACCCAAAACCACTAAGAAAATGGTAATAGGAACATACATATCGATAATTACCTTAAATGTAAATGGATTAAATGCTCCAACCAAAAGACATAGACTGGCTGAATGGATATAAAAAAATACCCATATATATGCTGTCTACAAGAGACCCACTTCAGACCTAGGGACACACACAGACTGAAAGTGAGGGGATGGAAGAAGATATTCCACACAAATGGAAATCAAAAGAAAGCTGGAGTAGCAATACTCATATCAGATAAAATAGACTTTAAAATAAAGAATGTTACAAGAGACAAGGAAGGACACTATGTAATGATCAAGGGATCAATCCAAGAAGAAGATATAACAATTATAAATATACATGCACCCAACATCGGAGCACCTCAATACATAAGGCAACTGCTAACAGCTATACAAGAGGAAATCGACAGTAACACAATAATAGTGGGGGACTTTAACAATTCACTTACACCATTGGAGAGATCATCCAAACAGAAAATTAATAAGGAAACACAAGCTTTAAATGACACAATAGACCAGATATATTTAATTGATATTTATATGACATTTGATCCAAAAACAGCAGATTACACTTTCTTCTCAAGTGCGCATGGAACATTCCACAGGATAGATCACATCTTGGGTCACAAATCAAGCCTCAGTAAATTTAAGAAAATTGAAATCATATCAAGCATCTTTTCTAACCACAATGCTATGAGATTAGGAATCAATTACAGGGAAAAAAAAATAAACACAGAAACACATGGAGGCCAAACAATACGTTACTAAATAACCAAGAGATCACTGAAGATATCAAAGAGGAAATCAAAAAACACCTAGAGACAAATGACAATGAAAACACAATGATCCAAAACTTTTGAGATGCAGCAAAAGCAGTTCTAAGAGAGAAGTTTATGGCTATACAAGCTTACCTCAAGAAAAAAGAAAAATCTCAAATAAACAATCTAAGGTTACATCTAAAGGAAATAGAGAAAGAAGAACAAACAAAACCCAAAGATAGCAGAAGGAAAGAAATCATAAAGATCAGAGCAGAAATAAATGAAATAGAAACAAAGAAAACAACAGCAAAGATCAATAAAACTAAAAGCTGGTTGTTTGAGAACATAAAAAATGTTGATAAACCATTAGCCAGACTCATCAAGAAAAAGAGGGACAGGACTCAAATCAATAAAATTAGAAATTAAAAAGGAGAAGTTACAACAGACACCGCAGAAATACAAAGCATCTTAAGAGACTACTACAAGCAAGTCTATGGCAATAAAATGGACAACCTGGAAGAAATGGACAAGTTCTTAGAAAGGTATAACCCTCCAAGGCTAAACCAGGAAGAAAGAGAAAATACGAACAGAACAATCACAAGTAATGAAATTGAAAATGTGATTAAAAATCGTCCAAGGAACAAAATCTAGGACCAGATGGCTTCACAGGTGAATTCTATCAAACATTTAGAGAAGAGTTAACATCCATCATTCCCAAACTCTTCCAAAAAATTGCAGAGGAAGGAAAACTCCCAATTTCATTCTATGAGGCCCCCATCACCCTGATACCAAAACCAGACAAAGATACTACAAAAAAAGAAAGTTACAGACCAATATCACTGATGAATATAGGTGCAAAATTCCTCAACAAAATAGTAGCAAACAGAATCGAACAACACATTAAACGGATCATACACCATGATCAAGTGGGATTTATCCCAGAGATGTAAGATTTCTTCAATATATGCAAATCAATCAGTGTGATACACCATATTAACAAATTGAAAAATAAAAACCATACGATCATCTCAGTAGATGCAGAAAAAGCTTTTGACA